CAACATAATAAAAAACTGGGTTGCACAGAGAATTCTGCTTAAGTATCCTTGTGAGCTATTGTGAGCCTAAATGGTTATTATGACAGCACTGAGTTGAATACCTATACGACTGATAAAAGGGAGTCAGTAAAACTATTTCTGTCTCTGACTAGATAAAAAGAAATGAGGTTTTTGGAGAGTTTCACGAAAGAAATGCACCCCAGCAGACTGTTCAGGCAGGCATCCCGCTGGGAGGGCACTGTCAGGATGCTGCTGGCGAATCCTGGGGGCAAGACCCAAATTTTGGCTTATAAACACCAGGCTGAGGCAATGGCTACTGCCCAGGGCTAGCATAGATACTTGGGCATCCTGCCCTGATAGCACAAGGGCATGTGTGGAAGAAAGCACCACGCGGGAGCGCGCCACTGGGTTTGGGTGTTTGAGTCGCCCTTCATCAAGTTCACCCAATTCCTCGCTGCTCTTAGCTCTCACCCTGAGGTACAGAGGGTGACCGACCTGCAGCCAAAGCCCCAGAACTGAAATACTGAATTTTCTGCCCCTTTTTAGCCAGCACTGCGCTTTCCCCCCAGCTGGTGTTATGGCCCAGATCTTGCGAGCATCCCGCCCGCTGTCTAAGTGCCAACACCAGCGCTCCGACTTGCAGCAGGCGAGGAGGAAAGCCATTCAGGGCAGTAATTTCCCTCACCCAGTTCTTCAGCAGCAAGCCCCAAGGTAGGAGCACTCTATCGGCGTTTTCTAATTATGCTAACTACCCATAAACTGGTGGCAGGGAGGCTATGCCTACTGGAGAGCACAGGGTACCGCAGGAGCTGCCCAAGCCACCCCTAAGCATGGGAGCTGGAATCACTGTCATTAGCATGGTATTCCACCTGAAGTAATATATACTATTGCACTGGAAGGCTAATTAGCCCAAAACTGTGCTTCTAAGGTACACTCCTTCCAACAGGCAAGCCAGCTCACTAGAGCTCACTCGGGTACCGCTGCAGTGCATCCCTCGGTGCAACAGCAGCCGCATTCCAGTGCCCATCCACAGCTTTGGGATCCTGGGGTTCAGGTCTTCCCCTGCTTGTTGACATCTGTATTATCCAGCACTGCAAAGCTATTGCGTGGTGTTATGGTTACAGGAGAAGAGGGAGCCTCTCAGTTATCTAAACAGGGGTCTCAGCAAGCCTGATCCCAGAAAAGCAAGGTGGGAGAATTATTTTTTTTTATTCCCCAAACCAGGCTCCTTCAAACATGACAGTCATGTTTCTGTACAAGAAATGCTGCCAGTGTCTTTTAAAAACCTCAGCTTTAGTTAGAAACTCCCTTAACTGGCCATAAAGTATTCTCAGAACTGGAAAATTCTGCCTCTCTTATGCTATAACTAAAAAATATAAAATTGAATGGTTGAAAATGTCCCGTTAACTGTGCTAAGTTATAAAAGCAAATTAAGAAACAACATTCTAAAATCTTTAATTCTACTCCAAAATGTGCAGATAGTACAAGACACTAACTAACAAGTTCCAATTAAAAGAAACTATTGCTGTCTTCGGCTGTCATCTCAGTCGTGTTTCTTCTGTATTATTCCACCTTAGCCCAACGTGTATCTTGGGCTCTTAGGAACATTACTTCCTTCTTGCTTACAAAAATGTTTTCTTTTCTACTACATCACGATAATGGTAAAGATATACTACAACCAGCAGAATAGTATTAATAACTAAAATCTACAGTACAATTTCAATTGAAATGAATTCCAAGGAGCGCCCAACCTGGCCCAGCTTTACCAACTGCCGAAGACGGCATCGATGCAGATGGAGTGAGAGAACTCACACAGTTATCAGCAGAGAACATCCAGAGGTGTACCAGCAGGGCTTGCGGGCGTAAGGAGATCTAAGTACCAAAGACAGCATCACTAGAGAGTTTTGTTCTTGTACCGTAGTTTTTGAGTGCACAAACAAAACCAGATGATATCAAAATAAACTCTATTGATAGTATAGACCCCAAAAAGTTTTTTCTTACATTATAATAGAAAATAAATTGAAATTTAACAATGACAACGTAAGTGTGAATTACAACATATTTAATTTGCTGAGTAAAATCTGTTACCCAGCACATATGGCTCATAGGATCAGCTACTGGTCTACATTCCTTGCAATACCTCTGCAGTAAGAAGCGACAGCCTTAACTTGGACTTTTATTTGTCTATAAGCTTAGAAGTGTTGTGATATACACTTCTACATAACACACTTTATCAGAATGGATAAAGAGAAGAATTCAAAGTCAGAAATGATGGAGGATGAATATATATATGGAATAGCTGTGGTACCACAGGATGCAGTACGGAAGCTACTCACAACTAGAGAACAGGAGGATTAGGTCCGAAAATTTCTTATTCTGCTAAATCCTCAAAGCCTTTCATCTCTTTTCATGGTCAGATAAGGACCACAGTCTGGTTGTTTGCTCTGGGAACAAGAGGTGCCCTTACGACAAATCTTTATTATAAACTAAGTCTCCTCATAAAATGCATCAGTAACTTTTTCTCACAGGTAGTATAAAAGCAGTGATTAGATGCCCATCTCAAATATTTAAATACACACTATGCAGAGGTATAATGCTACATCTGATAATATCTCCTTCGTCGTTATGCCTTCACTCTTAACTGATCATTTACTGTGCTGCTTGTGCTAGGTTGTGGAGCCATCATCTCCAGTAATCACATTAAAAGGTAAATACATTACAGGATTTAATCATATGACATGCTCTTTTAATACACTGGTTTTTGATCAAAGGTCAGACATCTTTTCTTTTATTTACCCTACAATTGCAGTATTAAACCAAAATAATCTTAAAAAGATCACGAGCACAGGTGTGATGATGATATCTTTGATCACCTCAGTCCAAATTAAGGTTATATATAAGACACAAGCACACCCTTCAATATTCACATGCAAAATAAAAGAGGTCAAAGTAAAGAAAAAATCACCCTGGTTATTTTGCCTTCAGAATTTTTAAATATTTTCCCAACATCTCAGCAAAATTATGCATTTTAAAAAGACTGCAGGCACTGAAATGATTGTCAGTCATGCAAATAATCACTTACTTACACTGTATGAGTTTGGTTTGGATAAAGCAAATTACCATTTGAAAATAACTTGAAAAACACTCTGGGCTAAGAGCTTGCTTTATAAATTTTAGCTTGGCCACAATTTTTCTTAACCTTTTTCTCCTCAATCTCCACTCAGTCACTATAGTAATGCAGACTAAATTAAAAAACAGCATTCAGTTGCCACAGGTGCATTCAACATTATTTAAAGCATGATCTTGTAAAGAAATAGTAAATATTGGCTGCAGCTGAAGGTCAAAAACCAAACAACTTATACAGAAGCTTTCCTCTCCTATGCTTCCCTTCTTTCTGTGCTAATAATACTGCTTCTTGCCTTAAAAAGAATGGAACTTATATCTAGGGGTAGCTTTTGACTAAAATGTATGTTAGGAATAACAGATTACAGCTGATATTAATCCATATTTCTAAATACTCTGCTGAGAAAGTTGTTCAGTCACACAGTTATGTTTATGAGTATCTTAGTTTTGTCCATCTGCTGCTGAAAATGGCTTTTCAATATGATGTCAAGTGCAACAACCACAATAAAAACATGAGCGGTGTCCTGCTTTGTGAGATGAGAATTAACATGAGAGCTGGACATCAACAAGAGCATGTGATGAGACCTGTCCACTGCACCACTTGGGTAGCAGATCACCAATTTTACAAAAAAATATCTGCTTTCTTAGCAGAAACCTTAGAGACATGGTCTCTAAGAAGCCAAGGGCGATCCTCAGAGATGTACAGGTTTGGATCTCCACTGCTATACAGACAGCCAAGGCCCTAAGCAACACTGGAGGATTTTCACCCACTTGACAAAAATATACCTTTAAAGACTTAACTTTAGGCATTGATTTTTAAAGGATTTGCATCAGTGCTTTAGAATATGTTTACCAAGTGACTGAAATCCAAACTTTGCACCATAAGCATCAATAGAGTGCGAGGCCTGAGACTTAAAATCTCTGTACCCCAAACTACCACAGACACACATTTAGTCCTTGAAGTCACTTGAAGCACAAGCTGGTTGGGACAAATATCTCAAGTGTGACCAGAAGTTGCTACCAGCCCAAAAGCTGCACTCTTGCAGAGTCATGACACTGCTTTCCACCCCTATTTCAGCAAAAAATGTCCCCAGCATCATGAGTTTTTTAAGAGTATAATCAAATTGCAGAATCATACTATCTCTATTTAGTACCGGTCCCACTGAAGCAAAGTTCCTGTTCGGTGGGAGGAGAGCTCCTTGTAATAGGAAAAACAATTGTGCCAGGTTTAATCAAAAGTGAAAAGGATCTGGTGAATGTTCCCTTTGAGCCACATAACCCACTGCTAATTTCAAGATGGGCTCTGAAACAAGGGTAATAAAAAACGTCCTTCATAGTAACTGAGGAAGACTGAAGAGCAACTGCAACTGCAGCTAATGCCAAAATCTGCAAGTCTGCTCTGTGCTACTGAAATGTTTTTCACCTACCTGGAAAGCAATAAAATAAGAGGTAGGGGAGGGAGGAGGGAATAAAATCCCACTACAACATACCAAGGGAAATATAGCCTCTTGACTACAGCCTTATCGCTTTTACTGTTCTCTAGAATTTCTTTCTCCTCCTTGACCTCTCCTGCACAAACAAATACATGGAGCTGAGGCGCAGACAACTTTTTAAAAACTAAAACAAGTGGGAAATTATTCACACTGAGGGATGGAAGTTTGTACGACATGCTTGGCAAACCTACCGGTCCCAGGGCGGGTGGATCAGATTCTGCCTGAACAGCCCCTGATTATTGAAGCACACTGATCGATCGAGGGGTTGTGCTCATTAACAAAGTCTTTACTTAACAATGCCTTAACTGATTTACTTAAAACTTCACAATAAATAGGTAGTTTTGACAGACTGGAGGCAATTTATGATGTGGAAAATGTACTGACCTGCTCACATCAGGAAACCTGACTGGAAAGTAAAGAACTTGGCACTTTGGTCTGATTATTTTTTCCAAATCCTTTGGTCTGTGGTCAGGAATCAACTTCATAAATTTTCCAATGGATGTAAGAAATGATTCCATATTAAAAGCAGAGTTGAACACCACAACATCAGCAACCAAACTGTAAAAAGTGGTTAAGAGTAATGAACACACTGCTGCTGCAAAAAGAATGGAGTTATTTCAAATGCAATGAAAACAGGATACACATTCTCATAGACAAAAGATATAAGTGGAATGTCAAGAAATGTCAGCTTTTTCAGGTCAATTAGAAGTAACATATATACCTTAATTAGAAATGTTCTGATTTCTGTCCATTTATAGCTTTGAAATATTTTTGAACTTTTTGTTAGAACACTGAATAAAAATATATTATTACCAATCTAAAGGAGCAAATACAATTCTATCCATAGATCATGTTTTTATTCATAACATGGTAAGACTAATATTACCACCATTGTCTCTCAAAAAAAAACAAACACTAAAAACAGATAGAAAAGGCACACTGTCATTTGACTTCAGTAGAATTAAGCTTGGAAGAAGAAGAAATTCCTTATGGAAAATCCTTTTACTGAAGGACAACTTACCTTTGGTTAACTTACCTTTGACTGACCAAGTGGGTCAGGTAGCAAGATCCTAGAGAATTAGAACTTTTTTTTAACCTATGCATGATAACCCTGATGAAAAGTGCATGCACTAAACAAAAAATTCATACTACATAGCACACAATATATACTAAAAAAGGGTTTGATATATTAATACTGATACATGAATACATATTGTGTTAATACTGATTAATACAATAATATTGATGTATTAAATATACATATATTGTTTATATATTTACATATTGGTCCTTAGTGCTGTGTTTTAAAACCAACCAGATCTAGAATTTTAAGATGCAGATAAAATAATAATTTAGGAGTTATTTCTCAAATGGTTGGATCTGGGGAAAGCAGGAAGGTACCAAGCCCCTGCAATGCCCGCAGTGCATCCAGGCAGCTCCGATGAGCAATCACCTACGATGGCAAGCACACAGTGCTGCCGGAGGGAAGCGTGCTTTATGGCCTGTGGGTTTTCTCCCTATGTTATGCAGTTCAGCACAGACCCATGGGTTGTAAGATACATGGAGGACACGTGTGTGTAAGTCACTGGGCTGGTGAAAAGTATATTTGAGGTGAGAGCCTGTCATTCATCCTCACGGTCAAGAAAGAAAACTGACACTGCTCCCCGGAGCAGCAGGAGCCAGCAGGAAAAGCAAAAAACCACGGGAGAGAGAAATCATCCTTTTCAAGCAGGCCACGGGAGTCAAAATGTTTTCCGGAATCCCACACACTTCCCTGCCCGTGATTTTTTACCCTTTGCTGCCCGAGACTTTGCAGCAATGCTGCAGCCACCTTCCTGCACTGACTTACAGATGGCACGAGGCAACAGGAGCCTCAGCTGCTCTGCTGCTGGCACGTAACAAAGGCTCCACACATCTCCACCTCTGCTCCTCTTGTACACTGAGCCTCGTCTGTCCAACTTTTTCCTGGAGGCTCTGCAGATCACTGCCAAATTAGAAAGCTCCTGTCAGCCCTGCAGCCTGAGCGGCTACAAGGAAAGGAGTTTCACCTTTGAAAAGTGTGATTTTATTGCCAGGGTTATATCAGCCCTTCGGAATCATTAAGGATAAAAAAATCTTTCTTAATGATTGAAGAAGGTTCCAAGATTTCCAGTTTCAATTTTCTCCAAAACATATATGCAAACTGCACAGAAAGATACAATTGGAAATATACAGCTAGAAAGATGTATCTTGGGAAGATGTATTCTCGCATTTCTGGCATTTCGAACAGATTTGGAAGATGGCAAGATGGCATTTCTTTGCAGATGACCACTAGGTAGTTACAAACTATATAGAGGAGATGGCTGCTATTTGCTGTTAAAAATGGGGTTTCTGCAGCAACAAAAATGAAAGATGAACATTATATAATTACACTGAGAAGCTATTGGAGGCTGAAGGAAACAGAATGGAGCATCTACACAATTCGTTTCTGGGGGGGTGAGGCAAAAGAAGATACTTGTATTATTTTAAAAATGCATGTTTTGAGGATAATGTATGTCAGCTTACAATAGAGGTGTGAAAAATAACTGCTCTAAGTAGTTGCCTCAGTGCCAGAAAAAGAACTTTTAACGTTGTAAAATCTGAAAACGGCTGCTACTATTTTCAAAAGGTCTTTTGCTCTCCTCTCCCACTCTACTCTCAGCAAGTGAAACGTGTTGCAAATGCAGGGGCAGCAGCAGCTACGGGATGGTCAGAGTACACCCAGATCATTTTCTGGGAAGTTCGCGTATCAGCCAGCTTATATCATACCGATGCAAAAGCTTAACTTATATCTTAAAATGCTCAATCCCTAGTCCTAATAATTCTCCTAATAGCTGATAGGTAGGAAAGATCATTCAAATCAATTTGTTTCAGCTCAGTTTTGCTGTTTCACTTAGGTTTGTACAGAGTCTAACCACAAAGCTTTTCAGTGTTGCTGTTATTAACTTCTTTCATTAACTTAGATTCAAGAAATACATTTGTTTTTAGCAACAATAAAGGACCGCAGCCTTTAAAACGTCTGGGTATTTTAGTACTGCTCAATTTCTGAATACCAGATGAAAGAAATATAAGGATTTATCTGGTGTGTTTACTGCCCTCTCTTCACAAGAAAAGTGCTGCATTACATTTTAATTTCTGTTTATTTCCCTAAAACCCTCTATATAATTTCTGTTGGATGCAGTAAAAGCTATGGCCGAGCTGAAGATGCTTAGCTGGAGCTTTGCTAAGTGTACAGTGAAACTAAGCATCTCGCTCGCTATGGCCAAGACACTGGGCCACGATGAGCAGGTAAGCCACAGCAAAGTACTGCTGGACTTTTATAAACTGAGACTGAGTGCATTGATACATGGTTTGGGCCATAGCCCTTTTACCAGCAGCTCTTGGGGTCTCTGCTTGTACCTCTGTTTGCTACAGGCTCACCATTTGAACAGGAGGAGGACTCCTCGGGCTGGCGATGCTGAACATCTGTACGTAGAAGGACACATTAAATAACACGGAGAGGTGCGAGAAACACATACCATGAAAGAATCTGGTTGTATCCGTACTGAAAATCCCTTTCCTTCCAGTTCTGGACAGGATACGCCAATTGGTTCTCATGGAAGTAGAGGACCTTTTTCAATTTGCCCAGGTCAGGGCGCAGGGCAGCGAGTTCAGCCAGGTTAAGCACCGAGCTTGCAAAGAGGATCCTGCAAACAAGGAGAGCAGTGTTCACCGCCTGCGAGCCTGCTCGCAGGGGTCACCCCTTCCCCTTTGCCTCCCCTTCTCCCCCCCAAGAAAAACATAACCCCTATAGGGACACATCAATAGCTAAGCCTTAATACCATGTAGCAGCATTCGAAGTTTTGATCTCTTAAAAAGCAGCTGCTAAGAACCCAACTAGAAAAGCACTGAATCTCATTGGTCTTCCCGGCTCAGTTACAGAGAGATGCAAAATAAAAAAGCTGGATGGATTTTATTGAAAAAGGCAAGAAAAGCTGTATCTGAAGGACAAATGGAACAAAGATAAGGCTGACTAGGGAATACTTTGCTTGCCAGTTTCATTACACTTTACTTCTTTATGCAACCAACTACTGAAATTCAATATACGAGCAGGAATGGCACATGTTCGTGTTATGACATAAACCTTTTTGATTTATGCAGTACACTTATCTAGTGTTGTCTCTTTTTTTTTTTTTTCACCCTTTTCCTGTGTTTTATTTTCTCATTTTTATGAGGTATCCTATATAATGAAATGTTTGTATCCTTGCACCCCAGTCTCGCCACAGCACAATTCCACAATCCACAGCGTTGCTCACATCCTTCAGGTATATCAGGCAAGCACAAAGCTAACAAAGCCTTTTATAACTAAATAGGCTATCAGAAAATGAACGTATTTAAATGCCTACTATAAATTCGTGACCCTGCTGAAACCAGTGGTGAATTTCCCCCAATTTCTCCACGAGTGTTTTGTCCCCTGCCTAGCACAGCTTTGAAATAAACTGATGTCTGAAGCTACAGAGAGCTGCAGACACTCATGGTAAGAAATTCTCATCAAAAACATTTAAAAAATGAGATCAGGCATTTTATTGTACATAAAACATTAAGCTTTCATATAGTTCTTTTAAATGTAGAACATTTCTGACTTGTTTTTGCTATGCACCATTTTTAGTAGTTCAGATTCAGAATCTGATGTACGAAATGTTTAATTCTTTTAAAATCTTTTCAATTTCTTCCTATTTTTGCATTAGATTTTAGTGTTCAAGATTCCTACCAAGCTGCCATCACTGATATTATAAACTTCCAACTCTGGCTGACAAAACTTGTGCGTTTCCCCAAAGAACCATCTATAAATAAATAAATAAATATAAATATATATCATTTTATCACCTAGGCTAATATGCACTGTCTTTAGGTAATCTGCATCCAGAGGACAAACACTTCCTAGAGAACAGATCCTGTATCCATCTTAATCAACGTGAGTCGATGCTAATCTGGAAGGCTTACCAAAGTACGAGATGAATGTTATTGCCTTGTTCATCAAATATTTGGTTTTTCTAAAGGGACTCTCAAACAGAATGGCAATTAAGATACGAGCACTGGTTTATTATGAGCCGTACAAAGACCAAAAAATAGTTTTAGGTAAGTCGTCACTTCTTTGTCACGAGGAGTAACAAATGGCCTGCGGAGCTCACGGTGGCCTGGTGGCAGATTCAGAGCAGAGGTTTGGAAATCAAAGTTCCCTACAGGTGGTACAATGCGCCTGCCCCGAGATGGTTGGGAGTGAGGTTAGGGAGACAATGAAAACCAACAGGAGAAAGCACGTGCCACATATTCCACAAATAAGATTAACGGCTACGTGGGAAGATGGTGGCTATTTCTGGGGTGCGTCATACCTTATCTGTCCTTTCCATTCCACTGATTTCTCAAAAAAAACTTTCTGTGATGAGTTGGGGAAAAAAACTGAACTGACAGAGGACAGCGCCTATGCACTTGGCTGCATTTGAATGAGGAAAGGAAGAAAAGAGATGGCACGTTGGGACTAAAGGTAGGGAAAGCAGAGCAGGACATGAAGGGAAGGGTGGGAAGAGCATAGAGAGGGTGTCAAGGTCAAGGGGACAACTGGAGAGACAAGGGCAGTGGGGAGCACGATGAGAAATGAGAACAGAGATCCAAGCTTGGGCACCACCACTTGGCTCTGAAATTCCTGAACCCACTCAGATGGACAAAGGAGTACCTATCAGAGGGAGATGAGAAAGGTGGTTATATCCACAGGAAAGGAAAATAAACCTTGTGGTACTGGTTTAGACAAACTGAAGGAATCCAGCAGTAGCATCAGAGAGCTGCAGGCTGGCTTTAGTAAGGCAGGAAAGGACAGAAGAAACGTGGAAAGCTTGCAAGAGGTAGACCTAAATTTTCTACGGCATAACTGGGAAGTGCTAAGAATTAACAAGCAGATCACTTATACAATAGCCCAGCTCATAAATAAACCAGTGTCAAGAGAAAATTGTTGCAATTACTAGCAAATTCAGCTTTAGAACCTGGAATGACACTGCTTACGTTTCTTATGGCAAAAAAAGTGTCGAATTGGTAACGGCACCAGAAAACACCCCACTCATCCACCTGCAGCTCTCGGCGCTTCCAGGACTGACGGCCACAAACATGAGCTGCTCTCCTGTTTGTTTCTCTGCCGGCATAAAAGCTGCTAACTACCAGCAATAACCAATTTCTTCGGCTTTGCAAGCCTAAATAACACCTGACAGCCCGAGTCACCGCGAACATGCCCAGGGAGCAGCCGTGGACGTGGCTAATGGACTCACGCAGGGCACTGGAGGATATGCTGCGCTGCATTTCCACTTAACACCTATTACAAGGGGAAGAAGGGAAAGTTTATTATAATGTAACGTGCGACATAAATATATGTCAGTTGTCATTCCGTGTGACATCAACTTCCATTTTACCTCGGGTGATTATTTAAGCAATAAATCCTAACAAGGTGAGCTTTCTGTATCCGGGAGGTAGAGACACAAGGTGATAGCAAGAACGCTCCCAACATGATAATTCCTGACAGCTGCTGCTTGAGCACAAGTTAAATTGAACAGTTTATCTCAGCATAAAGATGTTATAAGGTTTTATGTTTAATTTAAAAAAATTAACATAAAACCCAGAGAAAGCAGAGTTAGGCAATCTTTCACAAACATGACATACTACAATCACTGTATAAGCTGGATTAGTACTTATTACCATGCTACTAGAGAATTAAGCTGTTTTTAGACCACCAAAGAGCTTTAAATTGCAACTTTTGTCTCTGTAAGAGAAACCTATATTTAAAACGTCTGCTAAATTCAAATTAACTGCTACATCATTAACTCGCCACCTCACAAAAAAAAATAAAAAAAATTAAACTGCCATTATAGCATCCTTATCTAGGCCTGTCATATAATGGACGTGGGACCCCTCGCTAAATACACGGGGCAGCTCGTCACAAAGCTGAAGGTCACGCTGGTAACGCCCCAGCTGTCCCCTCCGAGATGTCCCCAGGCTCTTTCCACCCCCAGGCCCGTGGCACGCACAGCAGCACCGGCGCCTGGAGCCCGGCCAGCTTTCAGGGGCCACCATCCGCACAAGCCCTGGTCTTACGCTAAGCCTGTGCTTAATTCGAAGCACTTAATAGCCCGCCCGACTTCTGAGGGCCTACTTAGGTGAATTAAGTTAAGCGTGTGCTTAATTTATACAAATATTCAGGGGAGGGAGGCTGGGCACGCTTGCAGACTCAGAGCTGGGATGCATAGGGAGAGCAACCTGACCTTTGCTGTTGTCTTTCACGTTATGTTACTCCAAAGGACTGAAAAGCCGTAAAATTAAAAATAAAAAAAGGAAAGGCTTTTTATATTACCAGCAGACAAAATGCCTGATACAGGTTTCCATTTACATCAAGCAAATTATAGAAGTGAAGGTGCTAAAGTATATTTATTTTGTTTAATAAATCTTCTTCATGTCACGTAACCATGATTTACTCTTTTATGAAACTGCCCTAAATCTTTCAATTAAATTCCCATGCAACCTAACTAAAAACACATTTCGCCTTCCCCCCTGGGAGACCACACAGCGCATATTTACCTATCTGTGGATCTAGAGACCGAACTGTCTGATTCCCTGCGTTTATAGCACGGAGTGGGTTTAAAGCAGCAGCCGATGTGTACTGGGACCATTCCTGGCGTCGCCGCGCAGGTGCCCCGCAGCCAGCCCTGCCTGGCAAGGGAGGATTGCTGGAGGGCGAGAGCCCACGGCGGCAGCCCCGACTCTCCTGCACTGCAGATGAAATCAAAGTCCGTGAATCCGTGCTGCAAAACATCCACATTCACATCAAACTGAGTCTACGATTGAAGATGCGGCCGTCTATGATTTCCTGATGTTTCAATTGGAAGGCCTAACGCCGTGTAGCACACAGCTTTAGACCCTCAGGCCATTCCCCAAAAGTGGCTTTATTCTGGGTGGGATGTGGGACTGCACCGTGCCCCGTCACACTGTGCTGCCCCCTCAAACCTCTGCGAAGAGCCACGGAGCAAGCAGAGGAGGAGAAGCGTGACCAGAAGCAGTCACCTTGAGAAACACAAGTTTCACGTGGTGCCTTCAAGCTCCCCAAGGGCAAACCCCAGGGCTTTGGTTCCTCCATCTCATCGCCAGCATGCAGCCCCCTTGCTTTCAGCCCAGCAACTGAAGACAAGTCCACGGATTTGGCTCAAAGTTATTTTTCAAGCGTAAACTGTACATCAAACGGCATTATTAATGTGTGTAATATTAAACAGAGTGGTTGTTTTCATTTATTACCACACACGTTTTTATATGATCAACTTGCAGAAGTTGCATTTTTATCACTGTATCAAGAATCCACAAATTGCAATCAGACAGAAAATGCTCTTCCATTTTCCATTAAACAATAGATGACTCTGAATTTCTGAATAATAAATACTAATAAATGGTAATATATGACTGTATACAATATAATAAAAATAAATTAACTCCAATGTTTTTGACATGGAATGTACAAATGTCAAAAATGCTTATAGATATGATAACATATATCTCATAAATTAAGTTTTAATAGATAGAGCATAATTTGAGATGTTTACAGAAATAATTAAGTCTTACTATTTTAACGGTCTTTATTTTTCAGAACAAATCACAAGGGTTGTCATGCCTTTCATCT